AGATGCCCTAACGTAGATGTGTTGTCGTTGCTACATGATCGACGCTCGACTTTACCTCATATCGAAAATTGTGACTGAAAATAATGAAGATATGTAAAATACCAGAACTCAAACTTGATCAAGACTGAGGATGCAAGTTCTAGTGTTTGCGATTGAAGATGGAGACATCTGAGACAGCTCAAAGCTGTAGTGCGTAGGGCACTGTTGAATTATCATGGCCACTAGATTTTCACATGGATCTACATGGATAAAGACAAGCTTGGGCGTACACGAACATGGCATTGCATTGCACATGGTATTGTATTGCACAAGGAAATGGTAATTTATCCGTACGTTGTGGTCGCTGGGCTCTTCCATCAGTATTTCAATTTGTGTCTCCATCGCATGTACATATTCACTCGCCATCTCCATTTTGACAATCAAATCGTGGATGAGCTGGCCCTTTTCAGTGATGTCTTTCTCCATGGAAGCCAGCTGCCGACTGAGGGCGTTGACCTTTATCCCATGGAATACCGCAATGGCAATGGCGGCAGAGGCGAAAAGGTAGGAAATACAGTCACTTGACATTGGTCGGCACCGCCTTCTCCCACGAAATGCCGGCAAAGCCATGAGTCTGCACTGCAAAATCACGCAATTGAAAACAAACCAAGAATACCTAACAAAATGGCTTATCTCAATGAGCATGAATATTTTCCGCTATACTATGGACATATATCATTGCATCAACAAGTCGCAGTTCCATAAGAATGAACTGAACCATGTCTACATGCTTCCATTCCCAAGAGAAACTGTGGCATGGTATGAATTTGAGTACTTTATGTTTGACACGGATACAAACCAATGCATTCCTGTAGTAGTGTTTAAATCGCTTGGCTGCAACTATCTGTTCATACCCGCGTTCCGTTTTTTAATATGCTCATAAATTACCATGACGCATTTGGCCATTACAAACCAAGTTGAGTGCGATTTCATGTCACTACGATGGGCTGTGATCGCATTGTTTCACGACGGTTTTTAGAATGTCATAGTACATTATGAACGGTGCAAGAGAAGCATGCTCACTAATGGAGCCAATTGAAAATGGTTCCCCTTGCCTTTTTGTTCTAACAATAAAGTAACCTGCTCTTGCAATTTTGTCAACTCGTGGTGTATTCAGAGCCTCAGTATACTTCATGTTTAGCCTGAAAGGGGCAGTGTCATATTGCAGCACACAATATACAATGTGCCACACATTGCGGGAAATGCACTGCTGCGCATATTATGGGCTCGATGAGAGCCAAACGTCCATGTAATTTCTATGGAATAATTTGGGGTGGACATCAGACACTGGCTTGCCTCTCCGTTAATGGGCAAACAAGCATCGTTGCTCAAATGCTGGCGTTAGCGTGCACAGTGCAAAAGAGCGGCAAACTCAAAATGCATGTTCGCAACAGCGCAATGTGAAGCTGCGATTGCAATAGGGTCTGTGAATGGGAAAAGTCAATCATTAGCAATTGTCAATGTACCATACACATTTACAGATTATATGTTGATTTAATAAGTAATGTGACATATATTATCCTTGGAAATGTCGCAAATCAACAGTTTACGACATCCATCCAGCCCAGCGCGTGCAACATCAAAGCCACACCTGCAATGAGCAAAGGCAAGCGATCGAAAAATCGATTGCACTGGCCGCTCCAATCGAACTTTCTTACTCACCAGTTGATACACACGACTGGAGCGCCCCGCTGCCACACTGCAGAGAGCGACACACTGTGTCAGACACAATTCTCCTACTGCTCGCAGGGACTGACACCGCACTTGTGCCTACCGCCCAAGCTGGCGGAAATCTGCATAAAGACGCACACACACCAAACTGCAGCTCCGTCTGCAAATGTTCGACTTGCCCAAGCTTACTATTTTAAGTTTGGTACGGGTGGGCAGATCTGCCCTTCCACACTCGGCTTGGGATCCCAACCCAGTAAAGTCTGTTGGAATCAAGGGAGCCTGCAGGCTTTCAGCAAAGGATATGTGCCTGAGGAATCCAAACGTTGTGTTTCTCAGCATTTTAAGTCACGGGTGAGGACGTGGATGGATCGCTGATGAACGCCGCTTGATGACGCCTTTGGAAACAAAGCGATGTACCACAGCATCATATTAAAATGGGTGAAAGCACTTCACTTAATCGTTCCATCGTCATATGTATGATCTCAGTGAGTTGGATTGGCAGTGCCAATTTGGCACTGCCACTTGCATTTGTTATTATTCCTGATAGTACCATTGAAACGAGTCAAATTTAAGCACTCAACGGCAAACATGGATGATAGTTTACATGAATTGATTCAAAGAAACGGAATATCATGAATGCATTTTCTGATTATATATTCTGCTTGCCCTGTGTAGATCCAGATGCAAGTTCACAACGACATTTGCCGCTATTCTTGCATCCGCCTGTCTTTGATGCCACTGCCTACTCATTTTGCATGGTCAAGACCACGAATCAGTGACTATGGTACCATTCGATTGTGATTACTACAAAAGTCAATTTTGTCTCTGTGAATGGGAAAATCAAATTTTAGTACTTATTGCTATATAATGTGCAACAAATATTATCCATGAGAGTGTGGCCAATATGCATTTCACGGCGGCCACACAGTCCAGCTCGTGCTGCAACCATATCAGACAGAAGCTATCTTGCGCAAGGCACTGTGCTTGAAAATCGATCACTCAACCGGTGCAATAGCACTTGCATGCTTACCAATGGATATGGTCGACTGGCCTGTCACGTTGTCACTAAATTGCAAGTGAGCAGTTCCCGTTGCTGGACGGGACAGACAGTGTCTGTCCGCCAACGCCCTTGTGCCTGCTTCCGAAGAATCTGGCACTCTGCAAAACAAGATACACGCCAAAGTCGTTGCAACGGGAACAAGCTCTACGAGCGGCGAGAGGACTGACCCAAGCAAGCTGGTCAAATTTCTGTACAGGCTCGCGCACCGCCCTGCAGAACGCAAAACACTGCATCCACTTTGGCCTTGCTCCCCGGCAGCCCAACGAGAACTTTCCTCACTTTCCAAATGAGTCGAACTTCGAACACAAGAGTGCTGCCGCGTCGCCACAGCGAAGCGGCAGCGAGCGCCTTCTGGTCTTCTAGGCGTTTGTGAATGGAAAAAGATCAAAACCGCGGCCGAAAGGAGAGCTTGCAGTGTGCGGCTTTAGGCTGCCTCAATTTGTCGCGCAAGCAGGGGGTGAGCTGAGACAGGAGGGGTAATAAGGCATGCAGCGAGAGCATATGCACAATATATGCATGGGGAATTTCAGTCGTGCCTTTTTTTGGCTTTTTTTGGTTGCAGATGACGAGCTGGCTTGGTTGTAGTTAATGTCTATTCAGGACATGCTTTCTTGCGTGGATTTTGCTTGTCTTGTGTGTGACTGATCGCAGCAGAAACCATTCTCTTCGAGCAATCGCAGCCGCAAAATCAAGTTGGAGACAATAGGGAGTGGCGACATGGGACCATGAATAATCGATTCTGAACACTGTATGCTTGGTTTTCATGCCCATCATCGCCTACCAGGTGCCGGGGTTGTGTTTTGTCATTTTGTGACAAATGTAATCCTTGGATTTTGATGATGACGTTGGAGGCAGCGTAATAACGCCTCATTATCCTTATCCACGGGGGCACACATTCTTGCCTGTGGAGTACCCAATACCCCCGTCGGATGGCCATTGGGAAATGGCATCAAAAGCACGGCTAAGTTCACACGATCTGGCCCCATTTTCACACATTTAAGCTCTGAACACTCGAACAAACATATCAAAGAGAGCTCCTCGGACTTAAAGGCGAAGGACACAACCACGCGACCTGGTTGGCGAATTACCTAAGCCGTACAACACTGGAGACCTCCAGGGCATATTGCAAAATGGCGACCCACTTCCATGGCAATTCAAGTGTACCGTTCAATGGCATTGAACGATGGGTGCACATGGAGCTGACTCATCGGCCATGTCATGGCGAGGCAGAGGAGCATCCGTCGAGAGGAGGGCGTGGGAGGGTGCAGTGAGGCGGCACACGGCCGAGGAGAGCGTGAGAGGTGGCGCACAGCATGCAGACACGTAGGGAGAGTCCGACACTGAGGCCTTCAACGCTGGCTCTATTGAATCACTGGACTTCGTAATGATTCATGAAAATGAATTGAGAGAGACAGGATCGACACTTAACGGACGCCTGCCCAATCAGAATGAGCAAAGATTGGTTTGCGCATCTTGTCATGTGACATTTTCGACCAGCCACTTGTAGTGGTCAGCTGCAACGGTGTAGAGGTGCGTGTGGATCGATGCGTGCCCAAAAAGGGTTACGTGGAACATGGAAGGATCCACAGGGACCAAGACACGTAGCTCGAAGATCTGTACACATCATGAACCACTATGTAGTAACGCGTTGCGGATTGCATCGCTGCTTCTGTAAAAACCTTTGTGCTGACCACGTGAGTGCCCAATACAATCTTGCATTTCCACCCTGACACCCAACAGAAGGTCTGCAACTGATGTGGCCGCTAAACCATACATGCATCATGTGGGAAATGACCTTGGCAGATGCCTATCCAAACATACGATTGGATAGGCGTCTTCCAAGGTCATTTCCCACATGATGCGCATATGCATGGGGATGAAAGGCAAACCAGAAATAACTAGAACAGCAGTGCGTGGCAAGGCGTTGAAAAGAATATAGCTTGAACTGGCAACAGGCAGCCCTCTTCTGTCTTGTTCAACCAGATGATCAAGCACCCCACCAATCAACCAATCAGGACTCGAGTCCAATCGTATCCCTGTCCATATGAGTAAAATAACGAACTGCACACTCAGCATATTCCAAGCAGCTCATATGTGCACTTCTTCTCACCCCACGCAGTTACCTTCCCAACTCGACGCTCCTCTTCCCTCTTTCCCACACATGGAGTTGTTCAAACCAGCCCTAGGTGGACCGACAGTTCAGTCCACCCCCGCTACCCAATCTGCAGGTTCAATCCAGCCCAAGACGCACAGTGACTGCTCGCCTGTGCGCCTCAAGGCCCTCCACCTCTGCCATTTTTGCCACAGCTGGCCCAACAGCGCCCAGACCCGATCTCGACAGTGCCTGGACGGTGATCTTCTTCTGGAAGGTGTCCAGGGAAACGCCACTGTGCATCTTGGCGTAGCCGTATGTGGGTAGGGTGTGGTTAGTGCCACTGGCATAGTCCCCCACGCTCTCTGGTGTCCACCTGTGTTCCACAACTTTCATTCTAAACACAGCTCGAACCTCCACAACTCTGAAACATACTCACCATATAATGCTGAACAAGGAGCGTACAGTGATCAGCATACAGGTTGTGGTCACACAGTCGAAAGTGTCCTTTGGTGTCCACCATCCTACCAGGTTCTTGCCCGGGGTATTGTATGTGCCTGGACGTGGTGTGACAAGGTGAGCAAATGCAATTGAAGGGCTCCAGTTGTGGTCATGTTGACTGAAGAGAATGCTTCGATATGCTTCAGTGCAGGCGATTGCTATGAGTGGTGCTACAAACTGAGACCACAGATGCACGGAGAAAGGCAGATATGCAAAAGCGGAAAACATGAGTACGTGGTATTCAAGTGACTCAGAATCAGGGGGATAAAGTGGGTCATAGCAACTCTACCTTTGCGTACATTACTACATTTGCCCTTGGGCAAGCTGCAAGGTACTTGAATCATAGCCCCTGAGTTGCCCTCCATTTGCTCCTTTCATTAAATGACAGCCTAGTTTGCAGCAACTCAGGACAAAAAAGCAGAAAAAGATGCCCTGCCCCATCCCACACCTGCCGAGAAAGACAGAGCCAGCATTGGAGATGCCAGGCAGGTAGTCCTCTGCATCTGCGGTGTTTATAATAAGGTGCTCAGGTGCGTATGCGTTGGAGAAGCGCAATGCTTCAGCCCTGTCTGCTGCCCGAACGACCTTGGAGTGTGAGAGGGCCAGCCGGGTGACCTCTGCGCGGGGCAGGCTGGACAGTTGCGTCTCTACAGCAGCTTGGATTGCAGGCACATCGGCGTCGGGCAGCGCCACAAGCACAGCCTGGCTGTCTGGGCCGTGTTCAGCCTGGTTCCAAAAGAATTCAATTAGGAGACAAGGCTGGAGTGGGTTGAATGAAAGCCAATCAAGCACGGCTTGAGGTTTCAATGATAATAATACAATAATTCAATAATACAGCATTCAAGATTTGACCATATTCAACATAACATCCAGCAAGAGTGCCACCAGGTCGTTGCCCAGTGACATTATGACTGAGTGACAGCATTTGAAGAGTACTTTCCGAACGATGACAGAGACACAGAAGTGATAGCAGCTGGAGGTAAGTGACTGTTTGCATATCACAATCCTCAATCTCTGCAATACAGGGAAACGTGACTAAGCATCAAAAGTAGGTCAGTGTGCATGTGATGGAGCACATAATGGCCAGCTGTGCTTGCCTGAATGAACTCTTGAGGTCAGGAACTTAGTTCCAACAATTGCATAGGTTGGTCCCCACTTCCTGGTGTATTTCCAAGAAATTTTGTTGATAGGCATCAACCTTAGCCACAGCCATAATCCCACACCCAAACTCAATAGCTACAGTGACAGCACAAATAGCACAAGGCGTTGAATTTTGTGGCCACAGCCACCTTCTTGCATAAAGGAAAATACAAAAAAACTTGACAGCAGCTCAGTTTCCAAGTGTAACAAACAATATGGTGCAGCCTTGAAAGCCTCCAATGAACCAGACATAATTCAATCCTCCAAAACTTCAGTTTTTCAACTGCTAAATAACAACTCAAAAACATGCATTAGACATGGTCCGCAATTTCTTGCAAAACATCAGGAGAGTGTTTCATAAGGAGTTTGGGATCCCCAGTGCACCTTAGCCAGTGAATGACAACATGGCCAGAGGGCGTCCACGCATGCAGCACTCTTTGATGACCACTCACAATGGAGACTGCCGATGTTTCAGTTTGTAAACAGTCAAGTGCTAGACAAACTGGCACCAAAACTGTGATTTGTATTTGCTCTAGGATGCTGGCAGGGTTTTGGAGCCTGTGACTAGGACATCCATGACTCGCTCACCTGAGACAGGAGGTCCACAGCTACATGGTCAGCAGGCGCGCCACCATCTGCAATTACCAACACCTCTGATGGGCCCGCTGGCATGTCGATCGACACCAGCGCCTCACTGTTCTGCAGTAGCATCTTGGCCGCTGTCACATACTGATTTCCAGGACCCAGCAGCTTGTCCACCTGGGCCATGAAAACCTTCTCTCAGCATACTCTTTCAAAGATAGAACGATGCAAAACCTCACACAAATCACACAATGATCCACAAGGCAGTTATGGACAATTTGTGCAAATTCTGTTCATGGATCCATATCAAAGCACCCTCCAACAATCAACAAACAAATCGCAAAAAAAATGCTCACCAGTGTGCAACATACTCCAGTGCCACAAAGCCTATTCACGATATTCCCTTATTGGCAAACAGGCACTGACTGGCCATTCTTGCTTGAACCAACCTATGCTGTCTTACTCTTGTTTCCAAGCAACTGTGCCCAACATCAAAACACAATGCCAATAAAGCCACACCTTTGGGCAAGAGTCAGTGCCCCAGGCCATGGCGGCTACTGCTTGGGCGCCACCTGCCCGCAGGACATGTGTTGCACCCGCTCGCCGTGCACAGTACAGAACCTCAGGAGAGATGGACCCATCAGGGCGCGGTGGAGTGGCCAGGACAATGATGGGGCAGCCAGCTATCTGTGCAGGCACACACAGCATGAGGGCGCTGGATGGTAGGATAGCACTGCCACCTGGCACGTAGAGGCCCACAGCTCCTGTGAAGCAACAAAATAAGACATTAATTCACAACAATATATGCTTCCAGTCAGCCTGCTTGGCAATACAAACAACAGGAAGATCTGTGCGTTCCAGTGCTGATCGACAATGAGCTGCAGAGCGACATTGCAGGGCGATAGGACAGATATCAGGTCTGCTTGTACCGCTGTGAACTGCAGGAGTGCACACAAGCTGCCTGACTAATTCAGAGCATCTTCCCAACAACACACTTCTCAACCCACATCTCAGCATAAGTAAGGAGCCAACCACATAAACACCTTGACCCCAGTTCTAACACTCAATACAAAAGTCTCCCAGTCCCTGGTACTCCAATAGGAACAGAAGGCTGACATGTTGCTGCACTGTCCAGGAGATGAGAGCACCCTGTCCAAATCATTTGACCTCAATACTCTTCTTTGAATATGGGAAGAAAGCACCAGCGACTTGCAGCCAGGATCCAAATTTGATGCATATGCAAGGGGCAACTGTGCGCCCCAATGTCATTGCAGTTTTTATTCCCACGATGCAACACAGTTTACTGCAGGTCACCTGCGCGATGAAAGAGATGTCGATGGATCTGATACATGTGCAGCAATTGACTACCATTGAATGTGCTCTTGGTGACTGTATGCTGTCTTATATCAACACAATTGTCCGGCCATTGTGAGTGAAATTTAACAACAGGACATTTCTTGCAAGTGTTGGTGTAATGGTACATCCACACACAGATTTCTAACACTTCGTACTTATGACCTTCTCCTGGCAACCAGGGAAAGGGTTTGAAAGGGGCAAGACCATGTCAGCATCCACGATAGGCATCTCTGCCTTTCTTGTGAATGGCGTTGGGGAGGGCAGAGCCCACATGGCAAACAAAATCACATACTTGTGGCATTGCAAGGCCAACAGTGACAACACAACCACAGTACCTATGGGTCGTGCCATCCTCCTGCACACCACCCCTGGCATCGTCTCCACCTCCAGTGGTTCATAGCGCTGCGCTTCGTGGAACAACCTAATGTTGTCGTAAGCCACATCGAAAGCTGCCTTTACCTCCTCCGGCAATTCAGGCTCAGCAATGTCCTACACTGCCACAGGGCAACAGGGTGTCTGTACAATTCTGTTCTGTTCTGACTGACTTGATGGGAACGTGACGAAACAGTGGCCACAGTGCGATGACAGGCACACTCTGTCTTGGCATGGCCTTGCAACTGATCGGGTCAGCAAAAGAACAACACGGAATCCTGACTGAACACCAAAAGGCAAAGACAATGAAATCCACCGAGTGTACACAAAGTTTCAAATGCTTCACACGCCTGGTGTGTTTATGCATATTGCAACACTACAACGAAAGAGACACGTGATGGATTGGGTGCTGCCAAATACATCGTGTGCGTGACCTGGCAACAAAGGTGACATTTGATGTGACCTTCAAGCCATCAATTCAAAGCGTACAACAGACAAAATTCACAGGCATCCACTTGTGGACTTCAATGGCAAAACAAGCTTGCTTCCTAAAAGGTGTTGGGTCATAAATAATTCCGTGCAGCAGACCCCAGTCAAATGGAAATGGGAACAACTGCTCAGAGTCCGGCAGCGACATGTGCATCTGTATGCATTCTTATTCCTCCATGTCCTATTGAGTTGTCTTCCAATACACATAAGAATGCACCTATGGATGAAAGACCTGCTGCTCTTTTTAACTCTGCAGTGCATCCACAATTCCTCACGATTTCAAACACACATGGCATGCATTGTACACAGTTGATGCTTGGATTTAGCTTGGTGGAGATTTAGATCAAGGTGATGATAACGATTGGCTTTGCTACCTGCAGCCACCAGCACAGCATTGAATTGCTCTCCTGATGGTTATCCAGTGCTTTGCTGTGCAGATGCAACACTCGTCATAAAGAAAATGCAAATAAGATAGCTCCAAACTTTGACTATTACTCATGCAATGTGGTCCATTACACATGCGTCGACTCCACATGTACTTGGGGGATATTGTCCCTTTCTTACAAGTGGCCTCCTATTGACCTATTTGGAGGCCACCTTGAACACAAGCCATACATCTGATGCCAAATCTACTGTTTGTGGACAAAATATGCAAATGAGATCATCTTATACTTGTTAGGAACTGGCATCCAAAATGAATTTTCCATTGTAGCTCGTCTGAATGTGCAGGACATACATATCAATGTGATGAGATTTCATTGTCAAAGAGCAAAAACATTGCTCAAGCCAATGACTATAGTCCACAGTGCTGCTGCAGGTAGGCTTGCACACAGGTCCTCTTGTACAAGGCTGACATAAATGTCTTTGCAACGATGTTACCACTGCACAAACACCCATCATGGCTGCTCAAAAAGGCCTGCATTCATGTACTCAGTACTATAGAGACTTGAGCAAACGATTGTACACGGAACCCTCCCTACACAGGTCAGGGGCGCACCTCCATTCTCCTGCACACCCAGTCCAGGTCGACTTTGTCGAATTTTCGTGTGTACTCTCTCACCGCATCGTCTCCCCGGCATCTCACATCCTCAGTCAGGGGACCCACCTGCAGCACAGCGCAGATTCCCAACATCAAGATAAAAAATTACGGCACAGAAGATGTGGACCTCAGCAAGGACCAACGTTGCATGAAATCAAAATGAGCCTTCCTGTCACAGCTCACACCATCCCATACGATGCATTGGAGGGACTATTCAGAATTCTTGACTGCACCAGTGCAAGGTGTATTGTGCACTGCACAAATCGCATTGAAATCTGCATGAGAGAGTGCATTTTGGCAGGAATTCAGCAACTCCAACAATGGGCATAGATGGCTCCCAAACAAAAGGACAACAATGAATTCTGAGCCAGAGCCACATAAGGATGCTGTCACATAGTCTCCAGAATGTCCGAACCCATGGGGAGTGCGATGTCCAATTGCTGTGTCCAGACAATCCCTGTTCCAAATCAGATGGTGCCATCACATTTTGAGACTCAAGAGTCCTTGTCCTGCCAATTGCATACCATTCTTGCCACTGTGTCCGGCAAGACAGGTCAAAGATAGGGCATAGCTATAGATTTTTGAGTGCCAGCCACCCCTATCAAACTGGAGTCCACAGTTCCAAAGCGCCTCGTCTGACGACACTGTAGACTGGAAATTGGTTGGATATGGTTGCACAATCAAGCGGATGACAATTATGATGGAGGAGACATTGTGACATGCTCATCATTTTCTAAACATTGTTTTTACACATGGACGCTGCTGCAGCTGTTGTTTGTGTTTGTGTGTGCTGTTTTTCAGTTGCATGGGGAAAAAGCTTGGTCAGGGAACCTTTGTCACGATGCATTTTCTCCCAAGAACCATTGACAAACAACTCCTGAGCCAGGGATTCTATTCAACATGCATGAATTGCAACATTTCTTGTCTGAAAGGAGATTTTTGTCCCCTTGTCTACTTCGTTGAGTAATCACTGCTTCAGGAGCGTCGGAACTGGACCTGCGCAAGCAGGTCAACTTTGATCCCACCACACAGACCCTTACCCCAACCCAAGACTGCACTACTCCAATTTTGGGACAGCCTAACTTCTTGCAACTAAAAGATGCACACGAGCAGCAAATCTGTGCCCATCGTCACTGGATATTTGCTTGCGCGTTTCAACCGGCTTCTTTTGCTGTGCAGTCTCACGCCCCCTGGTTCTCTTGGCGCGCTCGCCCAAGTCTCACCGTCTCCATGATCGCCTCGAAGTCTTGCCGCGGTCGGCTGCACGCGGAACGCAGCTCTTCGTCCGACATCCCGCTGACCTCACCGATCTCTCGGATGGTCTGCTGAGCGGTGGCGCCCGCGCGGCCTGCCGGACATGGCCGCCTGGCAGCCGCCAGCCGGGGCCCCGTCGCCATCTGATGGACGGCGCCGATCGGCCCTGGATGACGGCGGCGGGCGCCTGTTACCGTCGGCACGGCGGGGGCGAGCGGCGTTGATCCGGTCATGGGTGTCGGCGGGGCGATCGTGTGGGGGTCTTGTTTGGGGTGCCTGCGCGGCAAGACGCCCGCCCTGGGGCCAAGGAAAAAGAACACAGGAGAGCAACCAAAAAAAAAAAAGCTTTCGAGCCGACTCCAATTCTGTGGAAGTGCGCAAAGTCCGGTTGAACAACAGGGGTGTGTCATGCCGTGCGACTCGAAACGCGCTCGATTAAACCCAATGTTTTCTTCGCGTTGAACCCTCGCCAGGCATTGTCCAATTTGATGTCACTTTTCGAAATTCTGCCACAGGTTTTGTCACAGTTTGGCCTTGTCTGGACATATTTTTCTATTTTCTTGCAATTGACCACATGAAAGACATGGGGTGTCAGAAATGCAGTGTTTGAACGGTGGATTAGAGTGGGAAACCGGGTTTTCATATCTCTATTATAATATCACCATTCTTGGTAATGGTGGAAGGTCTGTGTTCTACACATCGCCAACTGGGTTGTCATTGAAAGAACGTCGATGGAAGGACGTCGATGCGTTGTACACCAATTGTGCTTCAGTAAAACAGGCACATGATTGCACTGTTGTATCAGCGCTGTGGACGATGAGGATACAAATAGGTGGGCAGGTGGTTGTGATG